AAAAGATGTTCAACATCACTAATAATCAGGGAAATGCAAATTAAAACCACTTTAAGATTTCACCTTACCCCAATCAGACTGGCTAAGATCAAGAAAACAAATGATACCAAATGTTGGAGGGGATGTGGGGAAAGGGGAACACTCATCCACTGCTGGTGGGGCTGCAAAGTTGTTCAGCCCCTATGGAAAGCAGTGTGGAGAACTCTTAAAAAACTACATAGAACTTTGCTTTTTAAGTCAAGAGACAGGAGTATGGGCTCTTAGTTGCTGATTATAAATGTGTACATGTGTACAAGCAAATAATCGTTGTCTAAATAAATGTGAACACTATATCCCAGAGTAATACTGTATATTGGTATCCAAATACATAATATGTGTATTCCATATATGAGTTTTATGTATACATATACGGAAGGAAAAAATAAACAAAGAAGGCAAATCTTCTGAACTAGAATGTTAAAGTTAGAGAAGGCATTCTGGAGAGCTCAAAGATAGCAAGTTATATAAAAAGAAGATAAAATGAAAAAATTTATAAGTACATACATAATGATACTTATTTAAACAAACACAAGCCATAAAAACCACTATTCAAATAAACTGAGATGTTTTAATATATAAATATTTCTGGGTAAAGTAAAATTTATGAAAAGAAAATCTCCTTATGTTCTGTATTTTTAGGCCACATAAAGGCTTAGTCAAAATAAACAGTGATCTGCAAATTAAAAGGAAGACAAAGAATTTAGAAGCACTGATACAGGGAAAAGAAAAACCATGTTTTATTTGATGTTTTATAATAGGAAGCATTATCTGTTCCTTTGTGTTTCAAATCAATTATCACTTAAACTAAGAGGAAAGTCACTCTTGAGAGATTCATGAGAAAGAATAGGCAAATGTCACATTTAAGGCCATCAAAAGAAATTGTCTAACTTAAAAAGGTTTTGTTATAGAGTGTGTATTGGCTTGAATCTCTTTTATTGTTCCTGTCCCTACATTCTCATCAGTGCTGATGATTAAAGTTCTATCCACTGTCCAGGTCCCTACAATTATCCCATTGTGGTGGCTCTCCTTCGTGGCGCCCTGCTATGGCCAGACATCAAGTCATTAGGAAACTGCAAGGGATGATGAAGAAGGTTATTTTAATTCCTTTTTAGCCCTTCTCCAGAGTGGCTCTTTGGTTCACAGAGCTGTGGGTACTTGCTTTCAAACTAACGAGCAATATTACAAATGGAGGCTGATTATCATGATTGCAGACAATCTAAGGCACTTGAGGGCCAAGGATTCTCACTCCTCAATATGGGCTGTTTGGTATTTATCAGCTAAAAATACATAGACAGTGCAAACAGTAAAGAGGGGTGAAGAGGGAGGGAGGGGAGCCAGGAAAGAATAAGGAAGTGCGGGGGGGGGGAATGAATAGGGAGGGGAGTGCAGCCCTGGGCGCTAGGTTGTTAGGAAACATACTCTTACCCATTTTCTTGCTGTTCGGCTGCGTAGTGCTCCAGCTCTGTACCAGGAAGGGGCTGGACTGGAGGAGGAGGCAGAGGGACATTGGCCCAGGTCGATCCATTATTTTTCTGCGCTTTAGAAGAGTTTTTATTTTTCTTCTTTTTTCCACCTTTCCCACCTGAAAGTTATAAATGCATTCATTCAAAGATGTTGAATCTCCAAAGGAAAAAAAAAAGAGAATTTGAGATGGCAGGATTTATTAATGTTTTCAAAACACCAGAATCAGAATGTTAGACATGAAAGCGAGCTATAAACAATGAAATGATATAATCCAAAACCAGCATTTTTTATAACTCCAATGGCATTGTGTCTTACATAGTGTGTTCTCTGAAGAGCTGAATAAACCAAAAATCATGTCTGCTGCATCAAAAGCACATTTATTGATTTATTCACATCTGCTGCCTCCATGTTCCCATTGTTAGGCAAAATGATGGTCCATAGCAAATTCTTTTAAATGTCAGATTTTAGTGCGTTTATAAGGCTCTTTTGCATAATCTCTCTCAGTGGAAAATTCAGTGTCTAAGGACACAGGCTAAACTTTTCCATTAGAATTTACTCAATTTAATTAAACCAGAAGAGAAACAGTCTTCTCTCAAAAGTCACTGGGAAAAATCAATCAACTACAGTCTAGAAAATACCTGTAAATCTCTCGCCAAGATACATTTCATAGACCTTTTAACTAATAAGTGGCACCATTACTTTTGTATACCATGAGAATAGTTTTGAACTATTTTAACCATAATATTTCATAAAATTCTGAAAGGAGGAACATTTAATGGGAATAGCATCAAGCACTATATTTAATACAAATGAATTCATGCACAAATATGAGTAGAAAACTTAGCATCATGTGAGTCATATCTGAAATTACATGGAAGTTTATGAAACATAAAAATAAAGCATCATTTTAATCATGATTTTAGTCTTCTAAAATTATGTTAATAAAACATCTTCATTAGCAAGGAGGGTGGCAAAGGTGGATATTAGAATGAATACTCCTTGGACAAAGAAACAAAGGATGTTTAAGGGTACTTAAAGGACTTCCCTGACTTTCACCTCTGCCTGTAGCTACATGTACAAAAAGTGGTATTAACCGTTACTCTTCATCTTCATGGAAGCAAAAGTTGTGGGCCAAAGGCAGTTGGAGCAGGGCTTTACAGTCATGTAGATTTCATTAAAAGCCAATCATTTTCTTTCTCCTACCTATTACTATCTGAGTTGGCCAAATCAGATCATGTAATTTAATGATGATGCTTTGGGAGCCCAGCAACTAATAAAACTATTGAACTCAATGTGCACACTACTACAGGGTCTCTACCTGATGTTCATGCCTACTCTCACTTTTATAGGAACATCCCTGTACATAGTACTTTTATATTTATTTTCACTTTTTTGATAGAAGGAAAGGTACTACAATGGAGGAGAGCAGGCATCTTCTACTCTCAGATTTTCAGAGTAAGAGCTTGATTTCTGAGTTTGAAGACTAGTTCCTTTCTTACTTCATAGGTCTGTTAGTAAATGTCATATTAATTTCCATACATGCAAAACATGCATTTCAGTTTCCTTGAGTTATGTTTAGAGTTAGGGGAAATGATTGAGGTAAAATACTGAGAAGTACAGAATGCCAGCTATTGCTGTTCTCATCAACTTCTTTCTCATTTTAAAAAATGCAGCTTCTAGTCACTTCTTTCTTCTTCTCCACTTCAATTTTTCCAGTCTAGTGAGTACCCCACAAAAAGCCTCTTTTCAAATAAAAGAAAAACATAGCTACTAAATATGTTTGTATTTTTGTTCAAGGTATTGAAACCTTAAAGCTTTGACTTCTTAGCTCTCTAGCATCATAAAGAAGACCCAGACCATATCATTTTTTCATAAAGCTTGAATTGAAATTCAGTAATAACCAGAGGACTATTTTGAGCCAATTGATCTCCCTTGCTGTCCCCTGAGATGTACTTCCTTTATGCCTTTTGACTTTGTATGTGCACAGCTTGTCACTTCCCACAGCACATTCAGAATTGTTATCTGATCACTACCAGAACACAGCGATGGAATCAGGGACCTTCTTGGGGTCTGTTTTGAATGTGAAACACTGCAGTTCTTACTGAGGGTTCCAGGGTCTGCACTCGTATTTGCAGAGTCAGAACAAAACCTGATTTCACTGCTCAGCAGCTTGAGCCGCTTCACTAGGACCGGGTTCTTTGCATACCCCTGCAACTGACTGTTATTCAGCTCATGCTAAAATTCTTAGTGAAATTCAAGAGAGCCATTCCTCACCCACTGCTCTAAACAACCAGAAATAGGTGAGTCATAGAGGGAGTTTATTTTTCCTTTCTTTTTTGCGTATATTTTATTGTTTTATTGATTCGTGCATTTCATATAATAGATCTTAGTCAAATTTAGAACCCCTCCCCCCACTGGATTTCTTTCACATATTTTAAGGCCTATCTTGTCAAGCATTTGTACCCAGATGTCCCTTGATGCAAGTTTATCCACTGGAGTCTAGTCAGCGTATGTAGCGCCACTCCCTTGAAGAAGATCTACTCTCTCTCTCTCACCTCTCAGTAATCAATTGCCAAGTGTTCCTCCACTAAGTTTGGGACCTGCTGCCCATTTTCCCAGTTCTATGCTGGGATTTTTTCTGAGTCTGAGTTAGTATGGGTCTTGTGCATGCTGTTAGCATGGCTGCAAATGCATATGATCAAGTTCCTGGAGACTTGAAAGCCTCTGTTTCCTTATGTTCAGGCACCAACCTTGGCTCTTACAACCTTTCTGCCACCCGCTTCAGCAATGGTCTCATAAAAGGAATTTCTGAGGGCCTTCCAAACACATCCATTTTCCCCTATTTTAGCAAAGCACCTGTTCTCTTATTTGGAACATTCAGGACAAGACTACTCACCAACACGCATGTCTTTTCTTAGCTCTGCGCTATGTGATGGGCTCTCACCATGGTGGTAAACATATGGTATATCTAAAACAGTTTAATTCAGTTTCTGAGATTGAAATTTTTAGTTATATGAACCACTGTATACTGCTGCCTATTGTAACCAAGCACTCAGTCATTTGATTGAGAACTACCTGCACTGTATTTTAAGAGAGCACTTTAGATGATTTGCAATTTGACCCCTCTCTTCAAATCAAAATGCAAATATTTAGATTAGTGTCTTTTTATTTTTATTTTATTTGTCTGAGTGTTTTGTCTGCATGTATGTGTGTATGTAGTATGTCTGTGAAGTGCCTATAGAGGCTGGAAGAGGGTGTTGGATTCCCTGGAACTGGAGTTACGGATGGTTGTTAGCTGCCATATAGGTGCTGGGAATGAAACCTGGGTCCACTGCTCAACTGCTTAGCAAGCTCTCCAGTCTACTATTTAGGTTATGTTATTCCTAAACAAATGAATTTCATGGAAAAAAGCTTTGAAAACAATTTAGTTTAAAAATAAATGTATCTTGTGGAAGAGAAAGCAGAGTGATTATGACAGCTAGGGGGCCAGGATGCCTGCTACTAGATAGTGTCTTCTAAACAAGTCAGGGAAGCTGTACCCATGAAATCTCAAAAATAAGGTTGCCTAAGCAAGACCTCCATAATGACAGCACCAGCTGACATTTCCATGCAGACAGGGGAAATTTCACAAGCCCCCTTCTGGATGATGTGGCAATCATTGACTGGGAAGGGAGGAAGAATCCAACTTCTCCAGGGACAAACTCTGATTTTCCAGTCTTGGGTGGTTTGTTTTTCAGTCTCAGGTGGTTAGCCTAAAACATGTATGTAAGAACACTAAATGGGCTCAGAAGGTTGTGTACACACATATACTGTTACAAGTATATTCACATATGCACATATGTGTAACAATTATAATTGTAGAAGAGGTCATGAACTTGACGTGGAGATGGGCATCAAAGCAGATGGACGAGGAGAGAGAAGGAGGAAATATGTAAATAAAGTACTCATTAATGAAAATCCTCAAAAAAATTTAAATTTAAAAACTCAAATGTATAGAGACTGGGAGGAGGAAGCCTAGTAATAGAGCCTCTTGCTTAGCACACATGAGGTCCCACGTGTGGTGCCACCTAAAAATTATACGTATGTTAAATTAATGTATAGTCTCCTTTTAAAAGTTGGCAAATTAAAAGACTCTTCAGTAAATGTCACCAATGTTGTTATATATTTTTTATTTTGGTTCCTATTTTGAAAGCTCAAAGTATCTTTCATGACTAGGTTTTTAATGAAGTTTTCAAAACTTCTGCAAAAAATAAAGCATAAAAATATTTTGAAGAGCATAAAATGTTCCTGCAAGTAAGTCAGGAATGATTGGTTTTCTTACATTTGTGATTTTTAAAATTTAAGTCACTGTGCTTATTAAGAAAATCCTATGAATTGACATGATTAGCCAGCCATGGGGCATTTTGATCTTAAATTTGAGCATTAGGAAACACATCTATAAAATAAAACTGTAACATTAAACTCAAGTAGATTTTAAAATGATATTAAACTAAAAAAGAAATAATCACTGTCTCTACTGAAAAATGCTTTCTGTCTACAATTTAAATAATTTTGTATTCAAATGTAGATGAAGTAGTTAATATAATTCCTAGATATATATAAATGTCACTCATGAGATTCAGGGATTCAAAAGGCAGCAAGCACTATTATGAATCAAGCTCTGCTTACATTTATTCACAAGATAATTTTTATATCTGTTGGCAATTGGTTTATATAGAATATTTAGTGCTCAACAGTCTATGGAAACCATGGATTACAGGATATAGTGTTATTTTTTATGCATTGCTTGATTTTTACATTTCCTTAATGAAATAGAAAAGAAGCTTCAGCAAAAATTACTTTTTAATTATTTGAACAACTGTGGGAGTAATTATACACAAATGATAACATAAATGACATATAAGGTCAACCTAAAAGTTCCCCTATATCATTTAGCTAGCTTAAATTCATAACAGATGTTTAATTTTTTCTGTATTATATGATGTATCTAATCCTACCAATAATCAAGAAGAGCAATGACTCATTTTGGAGGGAGAAAAGAGCATTAACACTTCAGTCTGTGAGGGCTCTATCTCCTGAGGAAAAATAATTTTGTACATGTAACCATAGCGGTGTAGAAAGTTAACTTTATAACCTTGGAGTATATGGCAATAAACAATATACTATAATCCTTTACTATTAACCTGTCATTTTTTAAAAAACTCATATAAATACCATGTAATTAATATGGACATATCAAAGAAATCAGATCACATAAGCACTTAGAAATATACAGAAAACGCCGTAAGCCATACAATGTGAATATGATTGCAGGTTAAATTGCTTCTACTACAAAGTCTTCATATTACTGGTGAGACTCCTGGAGTTAGTAGGATGTTACTGATATTTATTAATATTGAAATACATTTCATTATGATTCAAGGCATTTCCACACATGTGATCTGTTTTGTCTACATCAGCTGATATTATTCAAATATATTTTAAATTTTATAGTATAAAATAGCTATCCACATAAATGATGACACTTATACCTTTAAAATTAGGCATTAATAATGTCCCATATTAGTGCTCATACTTAGCATGGTATAGTATGATTTGACAAATAATAAGTCTTATCATGGAACATTTCAGAAAAACGGCTGAAATTATGACATCTCATCACTCTAAATTTGGTATAATAAGTCTTCAAAATAATTTCATTTCCGCTGAAATTTTACTTTAGAATTGGTGACCTAGAATTGATTGCTATGTACAGGCTTTTTGTTATAAAGTTTTGCTGAATCATAAACAGGGCCCAACACAGAGAAAACTCTTCTCTATGAGTGATATTTAGGAAAATAGCAGTATTTTTTTCTTCAAATAATCACTGTACAGTTATGAAAGAGTGATAGTGATTTTATTACACCTTCTCCTCCAACCCAAAGTATGACTTCACTAAGATCAACAGCTGTCATTTGAAAGATTAATGCCTGATAGTGGGTTGTGATTTAATATTTCTTCAATGGTAGCTAAGAACACAGGTTATATGCCCTTGACAAATAAATTATTTCTCCTTACTGTGATCAGACCAACCTGAAAGACTGCCACTCCTTTCTGAGCTGTTGTGAGAGCTGGTGGTGCTGAAATCCTGTGACTGGTTGTGTGGCATTCTATTAGACAATCCCTCAGCCAAGCGGTAGTCAGGGATGTAAAGTAAGGCTAAGGGTTAAAGGGCAGAGGTCATAGTGGCATCATGTGATTAGTTCACAGCACACACCCATGCAGAACATGCAGTTAGCAACTCAGAAGCAGATGTGGTAGGAGAGCAAAGGGATGTTCAATCTATCCTTTCCTAATGGAGGTAGAGATGGATTGCTGATCATCATACTGAAAACTGTTGAAAGAATGAAACCAGTTGGTGTTGGTGTGTGGTGGCAATGGTGGAGGCGGTGGCGGCGGCAGTGGTGGTGGTGGTGGTGGAGGTGGTTTAAGGTGCTAAATACATACATGCCAAAATATTTTTTAATTTTAGGTAGTAAACTTTGCAATGAATCACTAAGTTGAACAACAAATACTAATTTCTATTTCATGCACACATGAAATGAAATTAACTTCTTAGGACACAAGAAACTGACTCACCATTGTTACCTTTGTTCTGCTCTGGTAGAGAATAACCAAATCCCATCAGATCTGTCTTTTGTTGAATCGAACTTTTCCATTGGGGATCAGGAAGATCAACTGCTAGTTCGTGGATGCTGTTGGAATGCAGGATCTGTGTAGTGGCGTAAGGGGTGGCCTGTGTTATTTGGCTGGAACTGTTGTACGTGGTCTTCGTAGTGAAGTCAATGCTGCTGTAAATGGCCCCGTCTGAAAGCATCGTTGCTGTTTTATCCCCTTGGCCTGGAACCGGTGGCAGCACATCTGCGATGAACACAGGGAGATGAAACCATTTAACAATGCACACAAAGTCCAAAACTATCAGGACTGAAGATGAAAAATAAATTGGTCATGCTGCATGTCTGCATTTCAGCAGAGATGGGTTTCATGAGCCAATGAAGGGGAGATGATATACAGCCATTGCCAGCTTTCAACCCCAGTGACAGGCAAGCCTAGAGCTCGTCCTTCATGTGTCATTGCTTAACATATCATTTTCCCATTTTCTTCAACCTTGTCAGAACTTTGGGATATTTCACTACTGAAAAACACTTTCAGTTGGTCACAAGGTATTAAAAGCAAGGGAAAAAAACAAAAAGCACATTACAGAAGTAATACTAAAGGGAAATCTGCGAGTTATGAATGAACATCTCTTTCCACTCAAAGGCATGGAATACAATCAACAGTAATAGTTATAAAAATGGTCTAATATTATACTTTCCTGATTATTAAAAATCATAATTTGTATGCATTTTTCTGAAGTTTTAACTTGCCATTTATCTGACTTGATTTCATAGCTTCAGAAATCGAGAATAACTCATGATAGAAAATGGACCTTTTTTTTTTTTTGGTGAATAACCAAGGAAAATCTCCATGAATAAGTTATTTCCACCATAGAGAGGGTGTAACTATAGCAAAAGCAATCTCAGTGATCAGTGGTTTAATTTATGCTATCAGATCTTAGAAGTGGAGAACTACAGTTTCATACTGTAATACAACAAAAGTAAAATTACACTCTAGGATCAACCCCGAATATCAATCAGTCTCCATTTATCATTTGGGGATATGAATTATCTTTACATGGTGCTTTGTAATTCAGATCTGCTACCTCTCTCCTGAGCAGAAGCGACTTAGTGAATCTGAAAGAAAAATTGCTAACACTGGTTTTAATCATGTAGAATTAAAATGAATCTAATTATAATGCCTACTAATGTATGCTCTAGAAGCCTTAATTTCTAGTACTTGAAGATATCATACCACTTGATTCTTTATTACAGAAAAAAAGCTGAATTGTCTTAAAACAGACTTGATGGTACACAGTGGTACTTGAAATTAAGATTATTATAGAAGAATTAATTTTGTTTTTACAACTCAGAAAAGCCAGAAAATTTGTCTTCATTAGCAATAGTGCCAGGAAATTTAAAATCTATTTTTTATAATGTAAAATTTCAGTCTTTTTAGAAGGTTCTGAATCAGGAATTTCAATCTGTTTTACTAGTAAGTGGGTTTTTGTATTACTGAAGTAAAGATTTTCAGTATCTACTAACGTGATCATGAAACATCCGAGTGTGCAGCATTTCATTAGATGTATAAACAAGTGAAATTGCTTTCAGATTCCAGAATTTTGCAATCATTTTCCCATTCTTTTTGCTTTTTAGCTGTATACTAACTACAGAATTTGATGGTGAACAAGCATGCTTCTTTCTCAAGTGCATTATTTTAATTTTAGAAAACTTTGAATATTTAATAACATGTTAAATTGATGAAAATATATCAGTCGATGAGTTTCATGACTTGTTTCTGCGTCATTTGCTCTGCCTCTCACTTATGAATATTAAGTAGAATTGTTTCACCAACATAGGCCTCAGTTATATGCATCTTGAACTTAAAGTTCTCCAAAGTTTGAGATTTAGATTATATGCCAGTTTGTTTGCAAACTTTTGAAATGTCTTGGTGTTGAAATGATTAGAAAAGGAAAGAGTCAAAGAATGTAATCATATATGAAATTCCTGTGCAACCACTATAGTTATGGCTCTGGAAAAAGTATCTCTCAGTGCTAGATGAAACTTTAGTCAGCCTCAAGTGAAAGTGCTTCTATATTGATTTTTAGCTGAATATTATCTTGAAATATCATTCGATCACTACCACATTTTCAAACAATACGTTGAATTCTATCCAATACTGAAATGTTGGAGGATTGCTCGTGAATATCTGTATGTAGAGGAGGTTTGTACCATCAGAAGGTTTGGTACCCTGTGCTAACTGTCCTCCGAACAGGATCCATCTGAACGGGCATCATCATAGTTAGGTATCACTTCTCACAGTCCTTTCCCACAGTTCTCAACTACCTATCTTTAATACTTTAGGCAGCGTGGATCTTGTTAATATTGTGTTGTAAATCTGTGAAGTAAAATAATACTTCCCTCAAGTTTGCATTTTTATGTTGCTTTCGAGCATCTTGTCGATACATTCATGCATTTATTTTTATTTTGTCTCAAAGAAGTTGGGATTTATGTCTTCATTTCCATAATTCCTCACCCAGTGATGTGATCAGAGAAAATACTTGCTACATTGTTAAATGTAACCTACTTATGGTTGTTGCATGCTGATTGTATGCTAAGCTTTGTGCCATATAAGGAGCAAATGCTTAAAATGACATTTTTGCTAAAAAGAGATAAAGAAAAACCTACAAATGCTTTGCCCCAGTTTGATACTTTTCCATTTAATTCTCATTATACAATTATTTTCTTTAAAGTTTCTCTTCTCATAGCTGAAATTGTAATGTATACATGTGCTATGTTTAGTAATTTTATTATTTGAAATACTATTTTAACTACATTCAAGCACAGTGGTAATCCATTTCCAAAGAGAAAAATGACACTCTTCATGAATATTAATCTAAGTCAATATGACTATAGGCTCCAACATGTGAAATCCACCCAATGAAGCCTTTTCTGGACTTGGGATAGTTTAACACAACTCTGTGTATCCTGAATTAATTCTCAAAGAGTTAAAATATAACAGAGAATTCATCCAAATTTCCTATTTTATTCTTAATTTTCTACCATTATTCCATTCCCCACTCAGCAACAGGATAGATTATGTAGAACAGTGTTTGGATCCCAGTATTCTATTCTTCAAAAGCCAATTAATGGCTTTTATTGCCTTTGAACAAAATCTTCACCACAATAGTGCCAGACTCACAGGAGGTACTCAGTACATTTATGTTGAATAGGAAGGACAGAGTTAAAATATATGAAGTATAAAATCTTAATTCCTAGTTTCTAATGTTAATGTATTTTGCTAATATTCATGTAAACTGCATTTTTAAAATAACTCTCTATTAATGAGAATTTCATTAAAATCTTAGTTTTACTTAAGACACACTTAAACTACTATAGGCACACTAGTTTTCTATTAAAAGAATTAGCAAAATATAGAACTGTGTTCTATGCCTTTATTGTTTTAATTATGAAAGAAGAGACTATTAATGTGTTTTTAAAAATCTGGGACCTACAAGATGGTTCAGACAGCAAAGGCACTGTTGCCAATTTGACTACTTGAATTGGGGCCTACATGTTAGAAGGAGAGAACTAACTCACCAGCTGTCTTCTAACTTCATATGCTGAACACTCATGGGCACATGAACACACAGACACAGACACACAGACACACACACAGACACACACACACATTTTCAAAAGAAAAATAGAAGAAATAATTAAAATTCTGAAACCAGGTATGTTGGTACATGCCTTTAATCCCAGCACTTGGGATGTAGAGACAGGCATACCTCTGTGAGATGGAGGCCAGCATGGTCTACATAGCAAGTTCCAGGTCAGCTGTGGTTACAGGGAGACCCTGTCTCAAAAAGACCAAAAAAAAAAAAAAAAAAAAAAAAAAAAAAAAAAAAAATCAACCCCCCCAAAACAAAAACCAAAACCAAAACCAAACCAAAACAAAACAAAAAACCACTAGAAACCAAAAACAAAAGTAAATATCCAAACAATATTATTTTGAAGCACACAACTCACCTCCACGTCCAAAATTTCCAATTTCATTTGGGCCACTATTGCTATTATTTACTGGCATGCTTGTGGCTGGCCAGGAATCAGCAAGCCATGGATAATTGGGATCACCGGCATTTAGAAGACCTGGGCGGCTGAAACAGAAACCGGAAGGAATTCAGCCTACAAAGCACAGTGCAAGATTTTGATACTTTCCTTACGCAAAGAAAAGACTTAAGGAATATAAGATTTTAATTGAATTCAAATTAAAATGTGAAGGTTCTTAAGAATTAAAGAACTTTGAGCTAAAGAGATGGCTCAGCGGTTAAGAACACCGACTGTTCTTGTAGAAGAGCCAGGTTCGAATCCCAGTGCCCACATGGCAGTTAACAACGGTCCATAATTCCAGTTCCACGAGATTCAATAGCCTCTTTTGTCCTGCGTGGGCACTGCACGACGTGAGTGCCCTTACCTACATACAGGCACTACACTCATGAACAGAAATTAAAAATAATAAATTGAATATTATAAAAAGAATTAAAGAACTTTAAAAGTTCATTAAGGCTATATATAGATCATCTGTCAGTGGAAGCATAATCTTTCCCTTGGTTTCTGCCCACATCCAAATGAAATCGACTAACTCCCTGAAATGGGTGGGAATAGGGAGCATATTAAATCCTGAAACAAGGTTTTATGATAAATTGACATCTCAGGGGAACAATTGCTCAAAGAGGCTGCTCACTATCAACCAATCCTCAGACATAGGGCTACTGCATCCTGAGTTCCTGCAGTCCCTAACTCAATCTGTGTTCTCTAGGCTGTCACCCTTATTCAGAGCTATCACACTTGATTGGAGACCAATAACTTGAGTCAAATTAATGAACAGTTCTTATACTCTTTTAGCAATAGCACATTTAGTCAGTTCCTAAACCTTAAAATAAAAGTAAATTCAATATTATTTTTTTCAAGGCAATAAAAGATCCATTGTGATTTGCTCCAACATGCTAGTATAGTCTATGAAGAAACTTTTATCATATATTTAATAAAGAAATACCTTATTTAATGTAAAGATGGGATTTTGATTCCTTTCCAGGATATTAGCATATTTACAAAGAAGTAGAACGTCTATAATCATTGCATTGTTTTTGATAGACCCTTCTGGTAAAATCCCTAAGAGAAACATGTGTTTCTATGGAAACTGCAATAAGAAGATTCAATTGCTTTCTTGCTACATCCGCTAGCTCTCATTAGACTTAATCTCTTTTTGCTAAAATATTGATTAAATGGGAGATTGGAAGTTATTACCAGAGCCTAATTACAATCTCCATATTGGCAAAGGGAAAATAGATGAGGATATATAGGTTTGTTATCAGCTTTTATCAATTTCAATTGAGTATCCAAAGTTGTGGAATCTAGTCCTATCAATCTACAGCCTATTCATCATCCATGAATCATTTACTTTGTGATCGATTATGTGTAATTGTTCACTCACAGCAATTTAGAGAGAGCCAATAAGGAGTCTTAAACAACAGCAACTTCATTTGCTAATGTCTAATTAATGCAATAAACATCCTGCTAACAAATGAACACATTCCTTGTGATATTTACTACTAATTTCTTCAGGGGCATCTGGGAGATATGAAACATCTGGACTTGATTCCTCTAAAGTGCACAACAGATAGATCATTAAACCTTGTGGTAAGCCATTTAATTCCTCCTAGAATTCTCAGACTTATAAGTGATCGTTTATTACAATAATAGCTGCTCACTACAGAATTTCCCCAGTACTGATTAAAAATAATAATAAAAAAGAAACTCCTTAGCCTACCTTCCATTGCTCATTAGTCCTCCATCTCCTCTTTGAAATGTAACTGTAATAAAAGAAAGACATAAACACATATTAGTCAATATTAATTGCAATTAACAGCAGCTAAGTATTGAGCCTCAGCTAGGAGATGAAGACCAGGAATTTCAACAAAATATAATTAGTGTAATTCTACAGATAGTGACAAGATTGGATTGGCTCAGGGCAAAGTCATCACTTGCTCCAAACCTAATAGAATATTTCAGTATTTTTCAAGCTAAATGAACTGCTAAAGTGGCAATTTGTATTTAGATGTCAAAACTGTTGCAAATGGTGGATTTGTAGTCTTCCTGGAAAGGCAATATAGCATTGATATAGAATTATCAAATCAAGTTTTTCAGTCAAGAGTCTTATTAGAAGGCATAATAAAAAACACACATAATATAAACAGAAATGATATTATTTCATCTGCTAATATCTTTCAATAAAACAACAGAAAATATTTATTGATTATATATTTCTCAATATCACAGATACTTTAGGCATAGTTATAAACACTACGCATTGAATACTTACAATTACAGCAGATATAAACTAAAAATAATATAGAATAGCATGCTAATGAAAATGTTATTTTCAAATAATTGATACTAAATAGATTCCTATTTTGTGTAACAAGCTCAAGATGTCTATATATCTAAGATCTTATTAAAAATAACAAGAGGCAGCGGCATCTAATAGAACCACGGTAGTAAATCCACTCCCTCACTTTAGTTGTTTTCATCCAAAAGCCAGCAACATGAAAGTGAATGTAAAATACCAAAGAATGTAATTACCATTGAGCCCCACCATCCTTTATCAAATGAACTTCAAAATTATTTATACCTAAGAGAGGCTATACACCTCACAGAGAACAAAGAAGAGCTGAGGTATCAAGCGTGCTTAATGGTATCTGCTATTTCTACAACTTCTGTGACTACATGGAGAATGGAATAATGGATTCATAGTTTCAGATCCACCTGGATCAAATTCTGTCACTAAACTACCCAACTAGTAGGCTATAGGAATGATATATTCTTAAAAAGTTTCAAGATGGAAGAATTCTAAGGATCTTGCAATTCAGAACAAAGTCATGGATCAGCTGAAACAATCACTGGGGATGATGACGAAAATGGCCAACATATTCTGTCATTGGAAGACCCAAATATGTGTTCTATGATTTGTTGCTTGGCGATAAAGGTGAAAAAATGAGTAGTTTTATGAATTAACTCACTTAAAAAGAGTATGCTAATAGTTCAAATGTACACATAGTTTTTAATTTCAAAAATTTCTCATGACCCATCTTTTCAAATGCTTCAGTTATTGAGTGTAATCATTCTTGAAATCCTGTAGCTTCCTACGCTATTACCCCAATGTCTTCTTGAAGGCGATTCAGTAACTAACATCTCTTACATCATAATCAGGAAATACAATCTTTTTTTTTTTTTTTTTTTGTCTTTTTTGAAGCAGGGTCGCCCTATAGCTCCAGGTGTCCTGGAACTCACTATGTAGACCAGACTGGCTTTGAACTCACAGAGATCTGCCTGCCTCTGTCTCTCAAGTGCTCAAGTGCTGGGACTACAGGCATATGCCAGCACACCTGGCTGGGAAATACAATCTTAACTCAAGGATCTACCACACTTCAAGACTGAAATAGGGCTCCAAGAAACTTCTTTCTGATAGCCCACTACCAGAAAGATACACTACCATAGTGAAAGATACATACACTATCTTATCACTTTTTATGTAGTATCTTAAATGTATTGTGAAACAGTTCCAATGTAACCTGCCCGGAATCTACCCAGAATTGGTTATAAATAACTCCTCAGACAAGATAAAAATGATGCTGATCATTATAGGCTCATTAAGGGCTGGAAATTCAAAACTAGAAGTGCATCTCTACCACATTGTGCTCATTTAATAATCAGTTTTTAATAGAAGTGAATTAAGCTGTAACAATTGACACAAACAGTTGAGCACTGGAGGTATTAAATAAAAGCTTGATTAGGAACCAGAAACCCAAGTAAGAGTATGTGCACGCAGAATGTGAACACAGCACAGGTGATCAGGCCCCTCATTATGTGACTTACTAGCTATGTGGTTTATCTTAAATATTTATTTTATTAGTTTTAATTGTGCCTATGTGTATAGGTTTGTACCAGCGTCTGCGGAGGTCAGAGGCATTGTTGGATCCCCTTGTACTGAAGTTCTAGGTGGTTGTGAGCTGCTTGATGTGGGTGCTGGGAGTTGAACTAGGGTCCCTTATAAAAGCAGTCTGTGATCTTAACTGCTAAGCCATCTCTCCAGCCCAGCTATATGGTTTTTAATTCCAATTGATTATATTAATCTGTTAGTGTAGAGTTAAGACAATGATGTATTATTGTGAATATGTAAATAGGTAAGTTTTGATGAGTTCACCTGAAAATATAATGCTTAAAGGATATGTGAGAGGCAAAATAATTTTTCTTACTATAAATGATTTTTTCTTCCATCCAAATTTTTTGTTATCTCCAGAACAACAAATAGTAAGAGCAAAAGAGATAACTGAACCAGAGGTACGAAAATTGGCCAATGACAAGTTTTTCATAAAATACAAAGTTTAAAGTATTATGACATAAAATCAAAATCTTATCAAAAGATACCTTTCATTAAAGTTAATATTCAGAATATAAAAGTTATGGTATATTCCATATTTATCAACTGAGAATTACATTTATGCAAGAAAGAATTTAAATTTCAAAGTGTTTCAGATTGTGCATTCAGAATTTATTCATTTTCTGTTTGTACCCCAATGATCATTCAAATGCCTCTCAAATGGTTCTGGATGGATAGTGGTCAAAGTTTATATGAAGACATTTATCTTTATCTTTGCTTCACACCTACACAAAGGAAGAGTTCACAGCATGTTATATAATTATCTGCCTAACTTAAAATACCCTTCACACAAGTGGTAGTCATGAGACTCTTGCATTTTGTATCGTTCTGTCAGAAAGTTCCCTTCCCTTCCCTTCTCTCCCCTCCCCTCCCCTTCACTTCCCTCTCTTCGTCTCCTCCCCCCCCTTTTAACCCCTCTCCTCTCTACCCGTCTCTTTTCTTTTATTTTCTTTTTTTTTTTTCTTTTCAGTCACTATGTAGCCCTGGTTGGTCTGTAACTACCAGGCTGGCTTCAAACACAGAGATCTCTTTGTCTCTGCTTCCTATATCTTGGGCTTAAAGGCATGTGCTACCCCACCCATACCTCACTGTATTGTTAAAATGAAGGTTGAAAGAGAACACTTTAAATTGCTTTTATTACCTTTTACTCTAAACTTTTATAAGTGATATGTTGTGAAAAGTAGAATAAAAGTAACAGTTCTGCTAGAACACTAGATTAAAAGCAGACAAGAGATAACTATGACTAATTAGAATTCCTACGATGAAAAGCGTATATGATATTTCAATCAGTGTTTTCATGAATGCACAGAGGAAAAAAATACACTTAAAGATAAATCTATAACAGATAGAAAGCTATTTTGAGGTAGTTCTAATTTCAAATAAATTGTTGCCTTGAGATGGAAAGAAATTGGGATTAGGATGGTGGATGGATTGACAATCTCGATGTCTTTTTATAAACAAAGAGAAATCACTTGTACATATGAGAAATCAATCTGAAAGGACTGTGGCTTTGAGGAAGGAGTTTCCATCAGCATTTCAAATTACGAGATTTCAGGGAGTAATGTACACCAGAAATATGTAACTTAACTGAAACTCACTAAAAGTACCAAATCTCCCAAACATTTCAGTCATCACAATTTAAAATCATTTTGAATTGCATTAAATAATTTGAGTTTATTTCAGTTTCATGAAAGTTATATGGTAAGTAGATTTTCTAAGCTTATATCATGTACAAAGTACTTCTAATATCACCTGTCAGAATTAATTTTGAGGCATGCCTCCTAGAACTGGGGACAGAGAGAAGAAAAGTAAATATGTGGTAAATTGACATTTTGAAGTAAAGAAGCTTCCAGAGCACCTATCTCTAGTAGGTCACATTTTCCTATGCCAAATGGAAACTTTACTGTTTCAGCCAAGCCTCCTTCCCTTTACTCATAAGCTCTTCCTCAAACAAGAATGCAGATTAGTCCCCTTTTAATAAGCATTAGCCAGTCTACATAATCACTTTAAAACATTCCATCAAATCATTGAACTGATTTTGGATAGCTCTGTCAAACAATTTCTAGTTCACCAATACTTTTAAATTCTGTACATGGAAAACCAATCTTAGCCAAAGAACTATTGGCAGCTGACTACTGCTGGGTGAGAAAGAGCTGATCTTCTCAAAGGGAGGGACTCTAGATAGTTGACTAGGCATAGATGAATGAATTTGCACTGAGGGACATCTGGGGGCACTAACTTGACTAGATAGGCCTTAACACAAATACACAAATGAGAAAATGCATGAATTCCAGTGGGGGAGGGGGATTATGGGAGGGTGTTAATGGGTAAGGGGTTATAAAGATGATTTAGAAGTTCTGTTTGAAATACACTAAAATTCCATTAAAAAATTACAAAAAAGAAAAAAAAATTCTCAAACTTCCTAGTTTGTGCCTTAAGG